TCTTGAGACTATAAGCTACATATCTAGGTATAATAACCCTTATATTAAATAAAAACCATTTTAAATGTTAAAAATGGGGTGACACGAGGTCCATGTTTTCGGATATTAAGGAAACATACTTATCTTTTTGACCAAAAATGGGGAAAAATTCAACATGCCCTTGTGTCAGTTGGAAAAGAAACCCTCAAACCACTTAAAGAAAAAACAAAACCTTGGATGACGGTAGAAATTCTTGAACTCATGGAAGAACGAAGAAAACATAAAGCAAAAGACCTGAATAAATATAAATAAATTCATCTCAGAAAGAAAATTCGAGAGGCAAAAGAGAGGTGGCTCTCCGACAGATGCAAGGAAATAGAAGATCTGGATAAAAAGTACGATAGCTTTAATTTACACAAAAAAATCAAAGAAATGACAGGTTCTAGAAAGCGTACAAAAACGAATATCCTTAAAAATGATAAAGGGGATATTATTACTGATATGAAGGAGAGATTATGTCACTGGACCAATTACATTCAACAACTATTTAATGATGAAAGAGAAGAACTGTCATTAGAAATCACCGAGGACACTGGACTACCAATATTAAGAGAAGAAGTCATCTATGCCATCAAAAACACAAAAGAGGGTAAAGCTACTGGACCAGATGAGGTGCCCATCGAATTATTAAAACTCATCGATGAAGATGTTATTGATGTAATGGTTGAACTCTTTAATCTAATATATCAGACTGCCACAATCCCCAGACAATGGCTGCAATCAACCTTTGTAGCAATTTCCAAAAAACCAAGTTCAACAACTTGCTCAGACCACAGAACAATAGCTTTAGTGAGTCACACACTTAAAACATTTTTTAAAATAATTCACAGCAGAATTGTTAAAACTCTTGAATATGAGATTAGTGACACACAATTTGGCTTTAGAAATGGTATGAGTACAAGAGATGCTTTGTTCGGCTTGAATGTGCTGGCTCAGAGATGCATGGACATGAATCAGGATATGTACTTATGTTTTGTTTACTTTGAAAAGGCATTTGATAAAGTTCAACATAAAAAGCTTGTAGATATATTAAAAAGCGAAAATATTGACAGTCGTGATCTGAAAATTATATCTAATTTATATTGGAATCAAACTGCCAAGGTAAGAGTTGACAGCCAGTACACCGAAAATATCAAAATACAGAGAGGAGTCCGCCAGGGTTGCGTGCTGTCCCCACTACTTTTCAATGTCTACAGTGAAGCGGTATTTCAAGAAGCGCTAATAGAAGGTATATCTATCAATGGAGAAGTTTTGAATAACTTACGTTTTGCAGACGATACAGTAATAATTACGGATAACAACAATGATTTATAGAACGTAATGCAACGCCTTAATGAACGCTGTCATGAGTACGGACTGAAGATAAATTTAAAGAAAACTAAGTGCATGATCATGACTAAATCTGCACATGCAAATATCCAATTGACTATTGAAGATACTGCAATTGAGAGTGTTAATAACTATAAATACTTAGGAACATGGATAACATCAGATGTAGACCAAACCAAAGAAATTGAGACACGTATTGAAATAGCACGTACATCATTTATTAAACTTAAAAAGTTTGTTGTGGGATATCAGGTTAGAACTACGCCTGAGGATGCTTCGATGTTACGTGTTCTCTACTCTTCTTTATGGTTTGGAAGCTTGGACACTAAAACAAGTTCATCTGAATAAGTTGGCCGCCTTTGAATTTTGGTGTTACAGAAGAATCCCACGAATATCATGGATTCAAAGAATGTCAAACATGGAAGTAACTAGAAGGATAGGAAATGAGGCGGAAATAATATTAACTATTAAAAGACGAAAACTTGAGTACTTGGGACATGTAATGAGAGGGCAAAAATACGCATTATTACAACTTATTATGCAGGGCAAAATCCGAGGAAAGCGAAATGTGGGAAGACGAAGAATAGCCTGGCTTAAGAACTTAAGGGAATGGTTTGAATGCAGTAGTGCAGGACTTTTTAGAGCGGCAGTCAACAGAGTCCGCATAGCCATGATGATTTTCAACCTTCGACAGAAGATGGAACTTAAAGAAGAAGAACTTATCTTTTCTCTAAAAATGGACAACTTGGTCCAACGGTTGAAACCAGCCATTTGGTTAGATCAGCAAGTAAAATTAATTAAAAGAGACAAAGTCTTAAAGACAGATGAAACTGAATTTTTGGTAAACAATCAAATAATAAACGCTCAATTGCAATGACGTCATAAACTTGGATATATTAGTATGCAATTATTTAGTAAAATTCACTATTGCATATGAACGTAAAATTCTTCGAATGATATATGACCCTTGCAGAGACAGCGTGACAAACGAATGGAGGGGCAGATACAATAACGAGCTAGAGTCTGTATTCGGAAAAGAAATTCAGGACATGTGATACGCAGTAATGACAATTGCCTTATAAACAATGTGTTCTGGGAAAGGCCAGATGGAAGAAGGTCTGTAGGGCGACCTAGAAAAAGGTGGAAAGATGCAGTCAGAGAAGATCTAGAGAAGATGGGATTGCGACAATGGGAATTACTGACACAGGACTGACAAACATGGAAGGCAATAGTAAACGCGGCAAAGACTCACGAAGAGTTGTAGCGCCATTGATGATGATGATGATGACTATTGCATATGAGTTATGATAATATATTTGTATAAAAATGATGTAATATACCATAGAAATTGTTGGAATCCAAAAATACGATAGACAGTATCTATGGCTAGGTTAGGTGCCATGTGGGGAGTTATAAATGAGTGTAAAGAGAGTGTAGTCGTGTAAATTACATCTCTATGTGAGATAAAGGTACATATGTAGCTAGGCTGGGGTGTCTTAACGTTGTGGGCCAATGTAGTATCATATAAGTTAATGTATCTATGGTACTTAATTTTCATTCTGACACACTTAGCTATTTGGACCTTTTTGTGCTGTTCATTCGGGTGTACCTGTATCCTTTAATCAAGTAATATCATCTTCTCTCTTATCAAAATTTATAATTTGGCACATTTTAATTTTTAGTCTTCCTGGAATTTAATTGCTAATTCACAACCATTTTAACTGATTTAGTATCTCTTGCACTGATGCATAGGTTACATATTAATGTATATATGTATGTATACATGTATGTCTCTATAATACACACTTACATATGTATTCGCGCACACTTTGTCTATTTAGTCTTCCTTATACTACACACACCCCTTTTCAAAACCATTTCATACAGGCACTGCCACCACATTTCATACCATACATGTATTCTAGTTTCAATTTTTGCAGGCTTAACTTCTAATTATATTTAGATACATAAACTTATATGATAATACATAGCCCCACAACATTTAGACACCCCATTTTATCTAGATCATTTTATTTTGTTAGTACATATATTCCTTTGTCTCCCATAGAGATGTAATTTACCCTATTATACTCTTTTTATACTCTTACACAGGCAACTTTATAATTCCCTACATAGACAACCAACCTCACCACAGATATTATCTATCGGAATTTGGTGGTACGTATACTATTACTTGAACAAATATAGAAACAAATATGGCACAGGAAAGAAATATATGAAAAATGGACGAGTCGAATAATTATACAAATCCATCAAAAAAGGAGATAAGGAAAAATGTTACAACTACAGAGAAGTTATACTTGCAGAACACAGAATAATAGGAGATTTTCACAACGGATTTCGTCCAGGAAGATTAAAGATGAGTCCAATTCATACACTAAAAGAAATACTGCAGAAATTCAGAGAATATAACAACAACCTTCATATAACTTATATTGCCTTCAAAAGCGCTTCGACACCATATATGAAAATTAAAAAGTCATTAAGGAAAATAGAAGTTCCAAATAAATCCATAGAACTATAGAAAATGTGCTTACTGAACTCTAAAACCAAAATCGAATTCCATTAAACAAAGGAATTTAAAACCAATAATGGGGTAAATTTCAATATGCCCCAACTCTCTTCAATCTCATGTTGGAATATATTTTGAGAGAAACAAAATTAGATATAAAGAACATATAAAAATTGTAACACAAAGAAAAGAAAAGACTTAATAAAATCGATAAACAAACACGATGAATTAAAAAAGTGAAAGCAGTAATAAATGAAAGTATAAAGAAGAAGAGGAACATGAAGAGTTAAGCAATAAATAAATTACAGAGGACTAATCCACTTCAAAAAAAGAAGTACTACATACCGCTTGGCATTACCATAAGCTAATAAGATTGAACGGCTGTGATGATAATGATAATGAAAAGCATTTTCTGTCGTGTTATATATATATATATATATATATATATATATATATATATATATATATATATATATATATATATATATATGAGATATTGCAGTGTTTTTTCTTTTATAGTCCTTTTAATTTACTTTCTTTTTTCATTCTTCTTAACATTTCAACGTCTTACTAGCTCCACACATGAGATCTTCATCATCATTTTATTCATCCACATCTCAAAGGAGTTTTAAGTCTTTTTATCACGTTTCGGGACAGCGTTCATGAACAACTCCATAGTATAGGACATTACACGAACATATCAATTCTCTGTTACAAAAAAACTTTTTCATTTTTATAAACTTGGAGAGTGCTTTGATAATTATAATTTATTTATTTATTTAATTAAAATTCAGTTTTTTGTAGTTAATGTAATACAAGAAAACTTAAAAATATTATCAACAAATCTTGGAAATTGGATTGGACAATTGGATTTTGTTTTAACATATCATTTTATATATGGTATATTAAAACTAGTTTTATCTGCACTAAAAACCTGATTTTTACTACCGTAGTTATTGAACTTAGAAATGTATTTTTATCTTTCCAAATGTTTTATCATTTTATGATCAAATATTCTAGTTTATCTTGCTATTCTGTATTTTTTTAGTTTTTTTATTTAATACACATAAAACATTACACAATATTTTATTATTTTTAGGGCCAATTTTTTTCTGGAACGCAATATAGAATCTATCTTTTAGGAAATCCTGTAATATGGTGGGGGAATTTAATATTTATTGCAGTATTTGTGATAGTGTTTGGACTAAATGGTATTAAATTAAAAAGAGGTTACATCAAACCTTCCGATGGTAAGCTTAAGTATATATTCTTATTATTTAAATTTACCGTATACCGGTAATACCTGGTGTGTAGAGAAATATGCATATTACATCGATCCGTATCGCCACATGGAATGTGAGAACGCTATTTGAAGCTGGAAAACTACACAATGCTAATCAAGAGATGTGTCGGTTACAGATCAGTATTTTAGGACATAGCGAAGTCAGATGGACAAATGCAGGTCAATTCGTCACCCCAAACGGTACCATATATTTTTCAGGACGAAATGACAATCATTGTAGAAATGGAGTGACAATAACGGTCACAAAGGAAATAAGTAAGTCGATTATAAACTTTGTAGCAGTGTCAGATAGAGTTATATTTCTACAACTGTCAACCATTCAGGGAAAACTAAATATAGTTCAAATATATGCTCCTACGGCGGAGAGTAGCGAAGAAGACACAGAAGAATTTTATAAAACCATTGAACAAACACTGAAAGTTGTTCAGTCTAGAGAAATTACAAAAATAATGGGAGATTGGGAAAGGAGAATGTGTCAAATGGGTTGGAAAATATGGTCTCGGCCAAAGAAATGAAAGAGGTGATCGGCTGTTGCAATTTTGCCAGGAAAATAATTTTGTAATTAAAAACACATTTTATCAACTACCAAGAAGACGAGTATACACGTGGAAATCTCCTGGGGACACTAAAGACCATATTATACGAAATCAAATAGATTATATAACCATAAACAACACATATAAAAACACAATCGAATCTGTGAAAACGTATCCAGGAGCAGATATAAGGTCAGACCACAATCCAGTAGTGGCACAATTCCGAATAAAACTTAAAAGAGTACAAACACCTAAGCCCAAACAAGTAATAGACCCCAATAGTTTAAATGATGAAACAAACATCAGGTAGAAACAAGCATTCAGGCAAATCTTGAAAAACTTGAAAAGACAGAGAAGATACCAGAACTAGACATTAATAAATACTGTGCCATTATTAAAAAGAACGTACTGGAGCCCGCTAATAAAATTTTCTGAAGAAAGAAAAACCAAAGAAACAGAAAGAATGGGTGAGTAACGAAATTTTGATATTGATGAATTCTCGGAGACTATCGAAAGGTAAAAATGAAGAACAGTATAAGCAAATTAACACAGAGATCAAAAGAAAAATCCGCGACGCTAAAAAACAATGGTTACAAGACAAATGTAAGGAGATTGAAAACTTGGAAGCCAAATATGATTCGTTCTATCTTCACAAGAAAGTTAAACAAATGATCAACAATAGAAACAGGAAGCACACAGTACTTATAAAATAACAAGGGAACATGATAATGGAAGCAGAGGAGAAACTAAAACATTGGCAGACATACATAAAAGAACTGTTTGACGATCAAAGCCAGCCTCTTTGTGATAATTTTCCAGAGGAGACAGGTCCAGAAATAAGCAAAGAAGAAGTAATGCAAGCGGTGAAGTCATCAAAGAATAGCAAAGCTCCAGGACCAGATGAGCTACCAGCGGATATACTAAAGTTGATAGACGAAGATCGAATCCATTTGTTAGTAGACTTATTTAACAAGATTTATGAAAACAGTATAATTCCTGAAGAATGGCTAAGATCAACCTTTGCCCCTCTTCCCAAGAAGGCACATGCTAAGCAGTGCAGTGATCATCGCACGATCAGTCTGATGAGTCATACCTTAAAAATATTCCTCAAAATAATTTACAATACAATTTACAGAAAATTGGAAGAAGACATCGGAGAAACTCAGTTTGGATTCCGGGAGAGATATAGAACTCGCGAAGCATTATTTGCCTTTAACGTCTTGACACAGAGGTGTTTGGATGTGAATCAAGATGTATTTGCTTGTTTCATTGATTACAACAAGGAGTTTGATAACGTCAAGCATGACCAACTTTTAGAGATCTTGAAAGCTGAACAGTTAGACACTCGCGATATAAGAATAATATCTACCATAAGCCATTTTAAACAAGGTAGTCACAGCTAGTGAAGAGAAAGGGTTAACATTGAATGTCAAAAAGACGAAATTCATGATTATTTCAAAAAAAGATTGAATGCAAACCTGTACATTTGCAATAACGATATCAAACGGGTGCACAAATATAAATACCTGGGAACAAGTTTTAATAACAACAATGGCATCACAAAAGAAATAAAAACTAGAATTGGAAAGGCTCGAGCTGCTTTTGTTAATATGAAGGACATTCTGGGAAGTCATAACATTAACTTAAACCTGAAAATGAGATTGGTTAGATGCTACATCTTTTCGATACTGCGGTACGGAATAGAGGCTTGGACTGTAAACAAGAGCAATATCGATCAACTAGAGGACTTCGAAATGTGGATATATAGAAGAATTTTGAAAATACATTGGACAGACAAAATAACAAATAGTGTAGGTCTTAGAAGAATGAACAAAGAACGGGAGCTGTTGATCACCATCAAGAGAAGAAAGTTGGAATATCTTGGTCATGTGATGAGAGGGAAAAACTACCGATTGCTCTAGTTAATTATCCAAGGAAATATTCAGGGCAAACGAAGCGTGGGGAATCGACGTATATCTTGGCTGCGCAATTGAAGAGACCGGTTCAAGTGTACATCTAACCAATTTGTTAAGGTGTGGATTTGGAAAATAAATAGTCGTACTTTACTACTATTATAAAAGGCTTTATTTCCTATAACATACATACTAATTAACTAACCTAACTTAAGCCACCATACTTCTTACTACTACCTACAACTACATGATACTCATTGACATTACTATTATTGTCTGTCATGTCAACCCATGACACTATGGGTGCGTTCCGCTTACTCTTACACCAATATATCTGTGTATACAATATAAATGTATTACATTCTCAACACGCCTCCTTACATTTACATTGTATTTACATTAATTCAAATTTAACATACTTCGAAATTTTTCAAATTTATCTTGGCCCAAGGACTTCGTAAAAATATCTGCAATATTATCATCAGAATCTACTTTAACCACATTTATAACATTTGCTTTAACATAATCATTTACATAATGATAATGAATTTCAACATGCTTAGAATTTTTTGTAAAATTGCCATAATTAGCTATACTAATTGTACCAGTGTTATCTTCATAAACATCAATTGGCTTTATTATTTCAATATCAAATATTTTCAACAATTCTTTTACAAATATCAATTCACTTACTGCTTCTGACAATGCTACATACTCTGCAAAAGTTGAAGCTTTTGTAACGCTTTTTTGTTTTCTAGATTTCCAATAAATTACATTACCAAACAATCTTATTACAAAACCAGTTGTAGACTTTCTATCTAAATGATCACCTGCCCAATCGGCATCCACATAACAATCAATAATACTTACTTTTTCATTTCTGTTATAAAACAATTTTAAATCTTTAGTTAAGCATAAATATTTCAAAATTCGTACAGCATATTTAAAGTGCGTTTCATTATAGCAATTTTGAAATCTACTCAGATAATTTACGCTGAAACTTATATCAGGCCTTGTTGCCGAACTTATGTATAATAGTGCACCAATTAAATTTTTATATTTAATATTTCTTTCACAATGATCAGATTTATCAATTTTTAAATTTACTTCCATAGGTGTATTATACAGTTTACCTTTTTCTAAATTATATTTTTTTCCTTAATAATTCAATATATTTATTTTGATCCAATCTCATTTCATGTTTACTAGAATCATAATCAACAGTAATACCAAGATATTCTTTAATTTCACCAATATCTTTCATTTTAAATTTTTCTGATAATAAAATTTTAATCCTTTTAATTTCATTTAAATTTCTACCACAAATCAATAAATCATCGACATAAATTAATAAGTAAATAATATCATTTCCAATTTTATAAACGTACAAACAAGGATCAATATTACTTCTTTCAAAACCTAAATTTATCAAAAATGTATCTAGGCACTCATACCATGCCCTTGGACTTTCTTTTAAACCATATAAAGCTTTAACTAATTTACAAACTTTACTTGTTCCATCTTCGTAACCCTTAGGTTGTTTAATATAAACTTCAGAAATTACTTTACCATTTAAAAAGGCTGTTTCAACATCCATTTGTTCAATTACTAGGCCCATTTGACAACAATATGACAATAAAATCTTTAATGTTTGCATTTTAGCCACAGGTGAATAAATATCATCAATTTCATCAGTTTGTTGAAAACCTCGTACAACCAATCTAGCTTTATAAGTATTATCAGACTTTTTAGTATAAACCCATTTAACATCCAGAATATTTTTGTTTGTATCATTTTTAACCAATTTCCAAGTTTTACTTTTATTTAAACTATCAATTTCTTTGTCCATAGCTGTTTTCCAATACTTACTTTCATTAGAATTTATCGCCTCCTCAAATGTATGTGGTATATCAGTTCTACACATATTTACAAAAATACTACTATTATATACATAGTAGTCATCAAATTTCTTTGGAGGATTTTTGGCTCTGTGAGATCTAGGTAACTCAGGTTCATTTTTATTCACACTATCATCCATACTTTCATTTGTACTTTCAAAAGTTTCATCTATTGAGTCATTTTCAGAGCTTTCATCAATTTTATCAGGGTAACACTCTTCATTATTATCATTATCTGATTCGTTAAAGTCTAAACCTATACACTTAACGTTTTCTTCAACAATATCCACGTGTCTAGCAACAATGACTCTGCCATTTAATAATACACGATAACCAACATTACTATAACCAATTAAAATTCCCATATCAGCTTTCTTATCCCATTTAGAGATTCTCTTCTGTTCTGGTCTTCGTACAAAAACTTTACTTCCATACAAACGCAAATTAGAAACATCAGGTTTCTGTCCAAAAAATATTTCATATGGAGTTTTCTTTTCAATTGTATCAGATAAAGTACGATTTTTCAAATAAACCGCAGCACAAACTATTTCAGGCCAATATTTTTTATGAATATCTGCTTCAGCCAACAAACATCTTGAC